TGCCTAATGTTAACAAACATTACAGTCATGGCTGATATAAAAAAAAGCATTAAAATATTTTTTTTAAACCCAAGTAGGCCCTCTCTCTAAGTACAATTTGAATTAAAAGTTAAAAACAATAGTGAATTTGAGAAAAGGTCTCCAGTCAGTACCACACCTCTTCCCCACCTCATAACCTCCCAAAAAAATAATCGTGCTAGCTGTCAAGGTGGCCGAAAAAGATACAATCCCACTCCTTTGACCCTTCCCCTCCCAGCAAAATTAATAATAATACGAAAAAAAAACACAGAGACCTACGGTACGTTAGGCCTATCTAAGATAAAGTACACACTATTTTTGTACTGTTATTAAAATATCCCTAGGCCTATAGGCTTTGATCTAGGCCTAAATGCCACTAGGCCTATGTAGACCACCCTGTGTGAGGACAAGTTACGACTTGGAACCTTAGACTAGGCCCTAGGGCATCACCAGAAAGCTAGCTCGGCCCCTCCCCTAGTTTCAGCCTAGAGTTTCTACATAATTTTTTTTAAATATTGTGATGACCAAGGATAAATAAAAGTAGCCTAAGTTAGGCCTATGTATACCATTCATAACATTATTACATTATAAAGAAAATAAAATTCCACTTACTTATATAATTCTGTAAATTTTTGAAGTAGAATTACCAAACAAAACTCAGGTGGTTGTAGATAGAAAAAAATTGGCGGCAACATCCTCAACCTCCTCATTTTCGTTGGCAACCGGCCAGCAGTGACGTCAATAGTCGCGCGCCTTATTTCGGAATACTTTATCAGCTCTCCCATTGGTCAATGTGACTTGCCACTCGGGAGAAAGTGGAAAACATCTCAACAGCATGACATGTTTAGATGTTTAAATTAACATTGAAATATTGTGTTCTTATATAAAAATAGGTTGTCTTACATCTGGTTATCCTTACAAATACAACCATTGATACATCTGTTTGTGAAAATCTTTATAGGGCTACAAAATTTTGTCAATTAATCTGGAATAATATTTGAAAATAATAAACACCTACGAGTTAAACACTAAGTGTTCAGTTTTAAACATTGCATCCGTTTAAATCTGATACATAGTGTTTATATTTTAAACACACCGTAACAATTGTAAACGCGTCAAGCGTCACAATTTTTTACAGTGTAGAAGGCCTACTCTGTGCGTCCGTGGAAAATCCTTTTTGGTGACTAAAACGTGATATCTTTTCCTCTGGCATTGTATGTTAGGCCAAGAGTTTGAAGTTTGTGCGCAATTTCACCCATTCGATATTAACAAAGTCAGTACTTCACACACATTAGGCCTATGGTCTTATTATATAAAGAGCATAATCGATCTTTACAGAGTGTCTAATTGATCTGTCAATTTTATACCAGGGGCCTACAGTATTGCATAGGAGTATTTAACAATAAGAAAAATTGGGAAAACAGTTTCCTTTGAAATTTACTTAAGCGAGTGTGTATGAAACCGGGTCTATGACAACTATTATTAAAAACTGTTGAATTCTTAATGATTACAAGATGACCAAGCATATGAATGAATCTGTCTAAAATGATATTCAAAGATATTATACAGCTAACCGCTAATGTTTGTTTTGCATGTCTATTACACACTGTCACTCACAAATGTGTGTAAAAATTGGTCGTAAAATTTGATAACAAGTGGACCATTAAAATCTATTGTAAATATTTATCCGTACACCGATTTTATTTCAAGTTGTTTGTTTTCAATATTGTAGCTGTTTCTTTACGATGACAATGTTTTGAAATCGTACTGTATAACACGCCAAAATTTGTTTTATGGGCAAACAACAGAAGGCTCTAAATTTTTGCAAGTTGACCAAGCGTGTTGCTGCATCATTATTTATCAGTTATGATCACTATTCAGGCAGAGAGCAGCAGTCTGATAATTTGTTTTTCCCACAGCTATTTAGATGTCGTTGTTGGTAAATTTATTTTAAATTGTGAGTGTAAATATTCTCTAGTGTATATACTGTAGATAAGAATTGTAGATAAATAATGCACATAAAATCAACTGTGATGGAGAACGGCGTCAGTCATCTGATTAGTCCCATATTAATAGTACCGATATTTTGAATACTCCTCTTCCGCGAATGGACAGTATGGCTATGAAATTTACTAACCACACAATCCACAATCATCAAGTCGAAAAACTTTAGCTGCATTTGGTGGATTAAGTCGCAAAACTTTATCTTCGTTTGGTGGCGCCATTTACTCTAGGTAGACGGAGACCGGTTTTGTTACCGGTTGGTACATTTCTTACGAACATTCAGCCAAAGGCCAGCAAAAGTCATCCTTAATAAGGGTTGCCATTTGGCCTTTTTGACGGCCAGATTCCTCAAATCTGGCTGTATAAAGATTTGCCTGGCCGTAACATTTGAAAAGTCACGGCCAAACTATATTTGGCCGAATTTGGCCAAATTTTTGAAAAGTTTACATTTTTTTTCAATATAGGCCTAATATAACGTAGACTTGTTTTGGATATTTTGTTTCTGTTAGCTTAAATTCTATATTTGATTCTAATCTTACCTTTTTTTGTACTTGCACTAAATACTTTTAAAATCTATGTTCCCCGATTCAGCCGATCTGACGTAAGAGAGTTTATTTAAAAGATAGCAGTTACATTTAATAATTTAGATTATTCGGATGAAATACATTGTTAATGAAGTTTATCCTCGTTTAAGCTTTATGAAGGCAGTTCATTGCAAGTTTGTACCATATGTGTGTCTTTGTATATGTTCCATCTTAATAGTAGAGGTTCCATCTCTTTTGAATTTCTTTTGAATATAAATTAAATACTGTACTTTAATTAATTTATTATTGCCCACTTGAATTGTATAGCCCTAGGTGCTGCAGTGTTCTTTATGTAGAGCGCCATATATATGCTCGATGTGATCATACGGGTCCGATGGCACCTCCAATTTCAAGCAAGTGTTACAGAGACTTCTTCGAAGTTACTCTGGAGTTAGGTTGTATAATTATGAGAATGAAGAAGATAATTCTGATAGCAACCTTGATTTATTGCTTTAAGTACTGCGACAATAACATTCAGAGGCGAATTTAGAAAGTGTAGATAAAAAGTATTTAGGCCTATTAAAGTTTTCATAGGTTTGTTTTAACGCCAGTTTGTGTTACCTAACTATGTAACTTAAATCATTCAAAAATAAGAGAGCCACGGATTTGCCAATAACAGCCCCTTAAAATTTTTGCTATAGATCGACTACAATGTACATTAATATTTAACACATTTAAATCAAATTTAGATCAATCTTAATATTGTGATTTTAAATAGCTGAGGTGGATTTACCTTGTATTTATATGTAAATAAATATTTTTATTTTAGATACACAAATATTATGCATTTAAATGTAATGACCAATTAATAAATGATAGCGTTATTATCATTTTCAGCACACCAGTTCTTTTTTATCAAGATGAAGTCATTAAATGTTCTCTATTTCCTCTTGGTTGAAGTTACGGTCATACTAATATTTTTACTGTGGTAAGACAATTTATACTTACTTAAATCTAATAAACACTTTATAACTAATATAATGTGTAAAACAAACTTTAAAAAACGAATTCCAAATGCATTTATTTCTAAAAACTTTTTTTATATGGACAGCTGTAAAAAGTTGTACATACTAATCACCAAAATTATGTAGTGAGTACAACAATCCAAGCATTACGCCTATGTACAACCAATTCTAACTATTTGATCAGTTAAGGTAACAAATGGAACTCTGATACACTTCTATTCTGGTGCCAGCACCAGTCATCAACCATCTGATCAAAATCCCCTAATTAATTTTGGTGATGTCATCATCACTATCATGACTAATATTTGTCACCGAAACAGATACATATCAGATCATTTAAGTAGAATTTGGTGCC